ACATCCTTGTACTGCTGAATCACCATTCAGGGACTCCTTATATGCTGGAGCGCAGGACCTTCAATACTGCTCAGTAATAGGCTTTGACAAGCAGGGCTGGGCAGAGTGCCAGGACTGAAGTCTGGAGGAGCAGAAAAGAGGAGGGTAGAGAAAGGAACATAGTTTGAGTCATGATCGGGGCCTCTTATGCAGGAATTTGGGACTGTATCCAAGTTACTTAAACATTTCAAAAGGAATGGGGCAGCTCAGTGTGTCTGTGTGTGCGCGCATGTGTGTGATATACTGTATTTCTTCTCATATTTCTCATGGCCATGAGTAGATTTCTCTGAGAGAGGGACTGTGCTTTCCCCCTCTTGCATTTCAGAGTTTTAATGCATCTTGCTCATTGGTGATGCATAGGGGGTGTCCGCAGGTGCACGTGCACCCCCTGAGATCAGCCGTGCACACCATGGAAGTGCCAGCCATGAAACCGGAAGTGCATTTCTGGTTTTGCTGCTGGCTCAGTGATTGGCCACTGGGGGACTGTCCCCCCCCCCACCCCTGCCCAGTCGGCAATTGGCCACTGGGGGACCCCCCTGGTTGGCGACTGTGTTCCCCCCGTCAGCGATCTGGTGCCCCGCCAGACTCGGGAGGCACCAGGCACACATGATCTTGCTTCCATTCTGGAAAAAAAATCCTGGTAATAAAGGTGCTTGCAAAGTTTCCAACAAAGCAGTTTTCCATCAGAAAATACCTGCTTGTCAAAACCAGAACTTTTCACAGGTCTATATCCATTTCAATTAAACTTTCATCAGGAGGAGTTTCTCAGCTCCAAACTAGATTTACTGGTCAAAACTAGACAGGAGGAGTCTTCTCCCCCATACACAATACCACACAGAAGATGAGATGTGGAAGAATGCTAAACCTGGCTTGATACTCAGACTTGAATCTAGGTCTCCCGCATCCCATCTGAATGCCCAGAACAGTGTTAAGATAGGAGTCTCTTTCTTCCTCTTTCCTTTTGTCATAACAAAACCCCAAGTATTTATTGGTCTATATATGAAAAAGAAAAAGGTGCTACACATTAATTGCAGTAGTGCTTTTAAAGCCCATATGAAGATGTAGCTGTGCAATCAGAGGGCACTTGCTGGCTCTTTAGTGAGGCTGTTGTCTAATTTCTAATACATTAATGTTCCTCCAATCAACTGTGTATGGTATTATTAATTCTTTCATCAACACACCCCTTCTTTCTGAACTTTTTTTTTTTAAATACAAGGATTGGATATATCTGGTCTCATCAGACCTTGAATGTCTTGATACAGGACTATGTAAGGAATCATGATTAAAGACTAGTTTCAGCTATTACAGGAGGGTGTGTTCGTTTCTGCTACACTTCCTTTCTCCATTATACTGAATGATGAGGGGCTCATTGTTCTCTTTTACAGTTATGGTGAATTAATATTTGGACACTTTTTAAAATGCATATCAGCTTCTACTTCAGTGCTACTATCCGGTGCAGCTCCCTTAGAAACTGACAGCAACAGTATCCAGTGAGGGTTTTAAAAAGCCTCAGCAGAGGAAGTGGTATGTGATCACCTCTATTAACATCTACTGGCTGATCTCATTGCTTTCACAAATTGATCTTCCATTATTGAGTTCTGTATTTTATTAGGTCTCCATCCAAAAAGAAATGTGTGCATACCTTTTGCTGCACTGCCTTTTAAGTTTCTTGATACAAATGAAAAAAATGTTTTCAATTCTGAATACTTAAGAAAGCAAAATGAATTGAAATGCCAGTGGCTAGAAAACGAGCACAGATATTGCACCTCAGCGGAAACCATCTAAGTGTTAAACATTCCTTTTTTACTTGTCATTTTATTTTTTTTTGAAATGTTGAAATTCATTGTTCATCTGAAAACTACTCCCTAATGTGTAATAATAGGAAGGGCTAGTTTCCTGCACTGCAAATACTGTATGTTATTTGAGAAATGCATGGCAACATTTTTTTTTTGCTTTTTTTGTAAAGATCAGTGAAATGTAGATATTTTAGCTCAATGTCATTATAGAAATTTTTTACAATTATAGAAAGAGAATGACAAGATATTTTTGTAATACAAATTGCTAACTGCTGTCAGCTGGCAAGCCTGTGTCCTTGCATGAAAATTATGTTATTATCTTCTATGACTGTGAGAAAAATATAAAGATCATGGATCATATAAGGGACAAGAATGGCAATTCACACAGATGATTTAGGACTATCACAGAAAATAAAGCTAAAATATGCCTTCCTGGCTTCTTCCCCTCTATAACAAAGTGGCGCATAAAATTATATTTGTCCTTCTTGGATATTAATTGTTTTTATTTGCCTCAAAAATAACAAATGACTGCCAAAGGTGTATTTTAATACAATGAACCCGAGAACCAACGACAGTCTGAAGATGGCTAATAATTGGGGTCTCTCTCATTTCAGAGCTAGGAACCTCTTAATGTTAATGAGCATTTAACAATGCATCTGGTCCTGTATGGAATACCAATTCCATGGTATGTTATCCAAGAAGGTGAACAGTTAAGTAAGATCAGACTGTGAGCAGAAGATAGACAATCATTCAGATTCTCAAGTATAATTACATACTTATTATTTTCTCTTTCTTTCATCATTGGGGTCAAATTCCTGAGGTGTCTGAGAAGCTCACTGGACTTGTAAAGATGATATGCACACATATAAGGAAGCATTAAGTCTTCTCTTAAGTGATGAGATTTGCTTCCTTTGCTAGATTAACTCACTCAGAACATGATGGGTTTTTCCAAGAGAGAGAAGGTTGATTCATGTATTTGCTGCTTTAATTGTATGTTTGTTGGGTTTTAACATTTATTTTTGTTATTTCTGTAATAGGTGTCTACTTTTAAAAGGCATGCTAAATTATGCATCTAATTTGCAACAATGTTTCTTCACATAATCAAAGCAAGTATTTCTACTTGCAAATGAATAGTTGGGGCTCTAACTGTCCATCTCTGTGTAAGTATATAGTGCTCTAATTAGCATGCAAGATTGTGGTAGTTCATGTAAGCAAATTAAGCTTATGCATGTACTTATACATGCCTTTACATGCCATAATAGAAATCTAAACATTTTAAAAACCAGGTTCTACTGGCAAGCTGAGCAAGTCTATTCAGAGGAATGGGAGCTGTACTTGCTTGGAGCAAATTAAGGGATACCATCAATAAATCAAGATGGGACATGATTGACAGGCACTCCATTGTCGTAAAGATACAATACAGGACACTTGCGATTTTGAATGCTGCTGCTGGTGAACAGCAGCCATCATTAGTCAAGAACTGTGCTAATTTCTAAAGGTAAAATGCTATCTCCATTACTAAATCCATCTGTATATTACTTCCTCCATCCCACTGATAATTTACTTCATGGGCCACACACTCTGCCCACGACATCAGTGGGAGCTGTGCACACACATTGAACAGTGTATGGCCCTTAATATCCACAGTTATTTTTTCCAACTGTATAAGTAGCTATTTTTTTTTCTAGACTTTACTATAAATTTATGGAAAAACTGAAATTTACTATCCTGCCCTGAGACATCTGTGATAGTTTTTACAATTCATAAAGTAAAATAAGGATGATTTACAGCATTTTGCAATTGTTAACGACAACCTAGGACATTTGTGGCACGCTCTTCTTGTACAACGTGCCATAAATAATGTTGCCCATCATTATTTACTACAGAAAGCTTTTCCCACCTCCAAGGGGAGGGCTTCCAAGGGGAGGAATCAAGCCAACATCTCTTTAGGCAGGGGAAGCTGTCACTCAGAAGACTGAACCTGTTTTTAATCTTGTTAGGTCCTCAGACACCCTAGCAGGGAGATGACGCATCTTTTCCAGCCAAAGCAGAAAGGTATTCAGCTCGCTACACCTATATACAACCATGATGTTGGCTAAAGCTAGGGCTACAGCCATACTTCAAAGGTTTCTAGGCTGATTAATAGTCAGAGCAGACTGCAGGTTCATGTCCACTGCTATGTTGTCTGGATTCCCACTGGGGCAGGCGCTGGCATCCTATGTTATTTATGCATTGAGAGCTGCCTGGGCACCCATATCAGCAGTAATGTGCCATTGTTGCAAATGATCACATCTGCTGTTGAAGAGAGTTAGAATTATAACTTGGTACAGAGATAAAGAGTCCCTGGGTATTTTAGTGTGAAAATTAATTTGTCTATGGCATACGCCGATGCTTATTTGAGCTTCTTAACAACTAAAACATTATAGTGAGTCTTCCCCTTCATGGATCTTAGATTTGGGTGAAGCAGAGAAGTTACCCTCCTTGGAGTCCTCCTAGTGACTGAGCAGGGAGAGGACAAACAAGATTGGAGGCTTGGCTCCAAATACACCCTTGTTTGCTGAGCAGAGTAGTCAGCTTGCTGAATGGGCAGTAAATAATGCCCACCATCACAAAAGCAGCATTTATACTAGATCAGCCCATTCTAGCTGATTTTACTATAAAACCATTTCCACTCTATTATTACACCAGACATTTAAAGCTGAGAGTAGTTTTGATTTACAGCTCCTTACCAAAGGGCATTTTGCATTAGAAAAAGTTACTGCAATCCATTTTAAAAGCTTTACTCAACTTCACAAGCAATGAGAAATCAATAGGAATAAGCAGTTGTGGTTTACAAGGCAAAAATTGTAATCCCGTACCTTGTTAGCTGCATTTTTTACATGTTCTCAGCGTAGTTGATTTTATGGCAACCGTTTTCAGCAAAAGAACAAAGCGGTGCCACAGAAATCATTTCCCAGCAAAAATGTAATAAAATTCAGCATATGAACTGTACTACTGGTAAGAGTTAAAGGAGTCACAGTGGTGGCCGCTCTCTCCCCACTCCCTGGCTTCAGTAAATTGCCATGTCCACTGCTTATCCGCTTACTGGGCTCATGAAATAAACATTTCTCCTTTTGTTTCAGTCTATTCTACCTTTTGACCAACAAAATAACTGCTTTCTTCTACCTGTTCTTGTGAAAGAAGAATGATGTTCAGGGGCACAGGTCAGGGCTGGGAGCTTTCCTTCAACTTCCTCTTCAACTTCCTCACCTGAAAAAAAAGGAGAACAGTTTTCACTGAAGACAGTCCTCAGAAGTAAAGTGAGGGTTAATTAGCTAACATTTTGCAGAGCTTTGAAAACAAAGTCTGACAATCTCAGGCACTCTGCTCTTGACAGATGGCTTGTGAAAATCCGGAAAGTCTTAGCCATGGAAAAAATTACTAGCCTTAAGAACAATTCATAGGCCTGATATCTGAACACATGGCTGCCTTTCAACACTTATGCTGAAGCTGGAAGCAGGAATAAAAAGCTAGCACTCTCCAAGAACTTTTCTCTTTAATAAAAAAGCTGTAACTTGTTTTTCTTTCTTTTTTCAACTTTTCTTTCCTTCTGCTTTTAGTGATCCCTGTTAAACTCAGGTAAATCGTGTTATCTGTTAATGATCAGGAAAAAAATAACTTAGTTATTAGCGCACACATCCTAAGTAGCATTTTAAGAATTTTTAAATGTAATTATTCTACGATTAGTCCTTACATGTGAATACTGCCTTGATACAATATGCTTGTTATTTGATAGGCATGCTATAAATTTGCATCTATGTTCTCAACATGTTTTGGTTTAAAAAAAAAAGAAAGAAAGAAATGCTAAGAAAATTTCTCCAAAAATAAAATAAATGGTGCTTGTACATGTGACAATTATCACCATGTACATGTGATAAAAATTTCCTTTCTGTGACTTAATAGCGTCACACAATACACATGCATGAGGTTTGGGGGTTTCAAATTAATTTGCAATGTTGCAAACTAAACCACATCCCCATGTAATTTAGGTGGCAACATTGCTACTTGTAATATTGCAGACTTTAATCTGACAGCTCGCCCCCTAGCTGCAGGAGACACAGGTAGTCTCTTCCAAAAAGAAGAATCGGGCCCCTCGCTGCTTCTCCCATCAGCAGGTTCCTGGTGGTCACAGGTACCTTCTGAAGACAGAAGCGGCAAGGGGACTGATTTTTTTTTTATTTTTTTTTTGTGAAGCCTGCCCACCTCTCCCATGGCCATGGGGTGACCTGCTGGCAGGCTGAGCAGCCCGAGCTATGGGGGACTCTGGTCCTTCCCTCTGCAGCAGCAGCGCCCCCTGGGACTGACTGAGCAAGCAGCTAGTGGGCTAGATGCTGCCCCCACTCGGATGCAGCACCTGGCCTGATCCAAATCTTCCCTGAGCCCACCATGGCTTCTAGTGCCCTGTGCATTGTCCCCACCACCTTTCTGCTACCTGAGAATGCACGAGATTGGGCTGCCTTGCCCCTGGGACTGTGTGGGGAGGTGGCAGAAGAGCAGCTTGGTTTACTGACATCCAAAGAAGGCAGTGGGGATGATGCATGGGGTGCTGGAAACTTGCCAAGCCTGAGCTTGCTCAAGTCTGCCTGGGATCCCAGTGCCCCATGCACTGTCCCTGTCACCTTCTCTGGCTGCCAGCACACCCATTCCCCCCTCTTTCCACCTTCCCATGCTGCTCCAGAGGCAAGCCAACCCATTCCCAAGCAGTCCTGGGTGGTGGGGAGGTGGCGGGGACAGTCCATGGGGTGCTGGAAACCCCAGTAGGCATGGGAATGAGTTGGATAGGGCCAGGTGCTACCTCTGAGCTGGGGCAGCATCCGGCCTACTAGCAGCCCACCTGGGTAGCTCTAGGGGGCACCACCACCACAGAAGGAAGGACCAGGGCATCACATGCAAGCTCGGGAGGTTTCTTCAGCCCCTGCTGAAGGGTGGGGTGAGTATATTGGATCCCTCCCCAAGATGGGGGACTCCAATTCACCCACCCCATGCGCCAGCACTGGCTGGGAAAGCCCTTGAACAAACTCCCTCCACTGCCTTCCCCACCCACATTCTGAAAACTTTGCAGCCTCATGGGGAGGAGCTAGATTCCCCTCCCCCTTGGAACCAACTGTGAACTTCTGTTTGCTCCGGGGGATCATTGCAACTCAGAATGCTTCCTGCAAAGCATTCTCAGTTACAGTGGGGAGCTGCACTTCTTTCTGCATCCATTAGGCACAAAATATGAAAGCTTCATGGGTGCTTGTTCAGGTCATAGAGTGCAAATTAATTCAATGATGTTAAAATGGCCTAAGTGGCCGCTTTACTCCCCCCAGAGCCTTTCCTGATATGCCAGAGAAATTGGAGATTCCAGTTAGAAACTGAGCTGTTCTCTAGCAAAGTTGATAATAAAACCCACAGCAAGTGCTGATTAGAATAATGAATGACATTAAGTGATGCATGTAATAGGAAGGAGACATGGCAGTACAATAGTCATTGGAAATACTGCTCCTGCCTATGTTGATACCAGCTTCTTCACAGCAAAGAAAAAGCTAATTTCTTCCTGCATTAGCCTTCTTTTTCTGACCTTCTTCCCCTTCCTATACCTCAAAAAGCCTGATTTTTTGATATGGCGATAATTAATTTCCATTCCTCGGTATCACTTTCAGCAAGGCTATAGCAAAACAAGGGAATTTTAAAAAGGCTGAAGGCTCAATCATACGTACTTCATGCTGACAATACTGAGTGAGGGACCCAAATGAACTTGTCTACTGAAGAACCACTTGTCCTGTGGTTTTTGTGCTCATTGTGGTAGAAATGTGTAAATGAAATGGCTTCTGAGAATTTTTGCATGCAGAATTCAAAAGTTAACTAGATTTTCCTGTGGGACATCTGAATCAAAGTTCTCCATGCTACAATTTTTTCCTTAACATAACCTGCATCTTCCCTCCAAACTCTTTTCTCTTATGCATTTAATTTCCTAAGCAGGAAGTATCACTTCCCTTCCCAGTTTTTATCCCTCCCCTACTTTTTTCTTTTTTTTTAGAAGTCTATATGCAGAATTCCCAAGTAAATCCAACAGCCAAAGAGCTTCCTTAGGCAGGTGCTGCACTCTTCCAGGAATTAAGCCCTTCTGACACCTGTGCTCGGTGGAAGTATGCTGAAAACATAAGGGAACTTGCAGAGGTGAACTGGGAACAACAGAGTGCCTGTACACAAGTGCAGAGGCTGTGCCAATGTTCTGTAATTACAGCACATTGAAGCAGATTCGATTAACTGAGCTTAAGTCAAATGAACTTTAGTTCAAGTGCCCCCACTACCATTTTTAAGCATGGAGACACTGATACACAAGATGCTGCGGCACTTTAATTAGAGCCTTCCATAACATGGCTATAATTTATTTACAACTCACCTAATAGCATGATTCTGCGGTAGAGATGCTCAGTGTGAAATGCTATATTTTCTTGCATATAACCGACACCTTTTCCTCCACAATTAAATGGCAAAAAATGGGGTGTGAATTATATGCAAGGAAAAAGGCATCCCATAGGCTCAGAAATTTGGTGATGGGGAGATGGCAGTATTAATTGTCGTAGCTCTAGAACAGATTGAACCCACTACATAGCCCCTCTGCCAGTATGCCAGATCAGGCCCCACTGCAGGGCATAAGAAGTGCCATACTTGATAAGATCATCTAGCCCAGTATTTTAGGATCACCTCAAACAAACCTCCACCAAACAGACATTAAGCATTTCCCCACTCTGTCCTCTTTCTTCCCTAGCTAATGCAAAACCCTCTTTTTATGGGGTCATTCTCAGGTGGGATATTGCATCTTAATGCAAGCAGGAGGGGAGATAGCAGCAATCAAAGAAAAATCTATATCTCCAATCTTGTGGGGGCTTCCACTCTCTCTCGTCTCTGGTTCATAGGAAGACATACTCAAGAAGTCATATATCCCCATTTTCAGCATTTTGAGAGACAGAGATAGAGAATGAAACAACTGTGGTATACAAAGATTGCAGTGTGAAAGTACTGGCCAGCATTAACACTTACTCCATGACTTAATTATGTGTGGCATTTTTCAAAATGAATCTGCTGCTTCTAAATTTACTATTCCTGCCCTTTCTCAAGATAGCAATGAAGGAGTGGAGTGGAGGGGCAGGGGGCCAGAAATAACTCTCCTGTATATCAGCTCTGTTTCCTGTTGAGAAATAGGGAATTGATACAGTGGTGTGGAAACCTGCTTATCAGGGAGTATTAAATACTAGAAAGGGAACAGGACAAAAATCACACAATGTCAGAGGAAATAAGCATTCATCCACTGCCCTTGAGATATTTCCCCAACTCTTCTAAGCTCAGAAAAATACCCAAGATCATCCAGGTATGTGGATTAAACATGCAAGAATCCCCACAGGGTAACAGGGCACAAACTAGTTATTAGGGTTGTGCAAAGCTTCAGGTGCTGAGTTGATTTGGAGGAGATTTGGCCTGATTCGGCATCTGAATCTCCAAATCTGAATCAAATCAGAAGACCAACAAAAAGGTCCGAATCAATTCAAAGCTCTCTGAATTGATTCGGAAAAGATTCAGAGACCTTCAGAGAGATTCAGAGATTTGGGCAGTCCCCATTTGCCACCACAGGGAGCTGGACCCGGGATCTGTGCCAGTAAATAGGGGACAGGGGGCGGGGGGCTAGAGCAGGGGGAGGAACCA